GGTAGATAGAGGTAAAACTCACTCAATTTCTGATCAAAGGAGAAGTTGGTTCTGCATCTCTTTCAGATTTTACGAGCATTTTGCTGAACACAGGTAAAATGGAATCGGTCGATTTTCTAACGTAAATGAGTTATGTTTTCTAGAAAAGCTAGACGTTAGACCCTGTTACATACCCAGTTTGTAGAGTTTTCATTTCTGTACACGAAAGAATATTTCATTCTAATTCCTTGCGCTGAGCAGGGACCATTCCTCTTACGTTAGTACCTATTGAAGTCCAAAATCATTCGGATCCTCAGATCTCGTTAACCTCAATGAATGATTCCACAACCGATACATGGTTAGATCTATCACGACGAGCTCTACAGAACTTGACAGATAAAGGTTTGGTTTAGCATAATTTTGATATCCGACAGAGTCCTTTTACTCACTTCTTTCCATCCCAATTCTTTGACACACATTCTCACAACATCTAAATTTGATCTTGCTTTACTTGTATCAACACAAATCAAACGTTTTGTATTCGACTCATCATTAGAGGCCGCATCACGTGCCATTTTCATAGCCGATAATTTGATCATATCTCCTCCACTACCATTTAGTAGCTGAGATGGTAGTAGTAACGTTTGACGTTGTGCTGTAGGAATTCGTTTTGTCGACTGGTTTAGTTGATCGACGGCACTTGTTTGGCGTTTATTACTCGTATACCTTGTTTTTGTTCGAGTCACCTTTTTCTTTTTCCGTTGTTTATTATCGTCCGTTTGAACTTGTACAGCTTGATTGCTGACCAGTTTACCATTCGACATTGAAATAAATTGAACTTCATCATCTGAACTTAAAATGTTTTCAGGTGTTTGTGATAGATCTTCTCTCTTCTCTTGTAAGTCGACATATCCGTTTTCAACGTAACTATTATAATCTTCATCAAAATCCTTTTCATTTACCACAATTTTATTGCTTTGTCGATTTAATCGTGACATATCCTTTGAATCGTCAAATAATTCACTACTTGTATTCGTTAACTCAAATATTTCGTCTTGTTTCGAATTTTTTATTGATGTTCTTTGATTATTTGCCCATAATACTTTTTCTCGTCGATTTGATTGTTGATTAGTTAGATTGGCAATGTATTCTGGTGTTATTTCATATTTTGTAGGTTTTTTATTCAATAATTGTTGTTCATTGAAAGATTGACTGTTATAGAAAATTAAACTCGAACGAGCTAAAGGTAAATCAAAATCATTATTCGTATATTGTTGTTGTTCTTTCTCTTGTTCGTTTAGTCGTTTCGATGATGATGATGATGTTAACAATAATCGTTCTTCTAACGATTGTTTATCATTATTAATGATCGTTGAAGATGAAAACGCTTGAAATTGATGGTCACCACTACCACCAACGCCAGTATTATCGATCAAAAGTAAACTTTGCCGTCGTTGTTGTAGTATACGTTTTTTATTCAAGTTTTGCATTTCGTTGAGTTTGTTTGTATGTTATTATTTAATCAAATAGAAACATGAAAAAATAATCTTGATAGGTATCCATTTCGAATAGATGACGATCATGAACAAGAACTAATACGGAAAGAACGCATTTTGCTCACAAACAACACTTCATGGAAGACTTTCAAAATCTTTTTTTTTAATGTCACAATTCGTCGATTGTTGTTATAGATTCGTATTTTATAAATTTATTAAATCGGACTATCGTCTAGTGTTGCGTTAATAGAAAGTATGATCTACAATAAGAAAAAAAAATACGACGTTACTCTGCTATAAGTTTATTATATACTTTCAAGGTCTTCCATTTCTGTACAGAAGAAAAGTTATAGCTCAATTTATTTGCATCATGTTTGGTTTCTTAGAGAAGTACTCCATAAATGGAAGCAATAAGATTTATTATTTTTAAAGAATAAGTATGTTTTCTGAGTTTTCGATGAACTCTGTTGTGGAGGAGGTGGATGACCGTATATTGTTATGATTTTGATGTAGGATAAAACACCTTGGTATTGGTTAATTGTCATATCATCCACTCTTTATTATCAGTATCTGTTCAAAACAACACTATTAGAATTGTTAATCAGAATTCAATGGTCTATTTACCAGGCAAAATGAGATAAGATGACCATTTTTGAAAAAATGGGGTGGTATCCTAGCTGATGTAATACAACGAGATTCTTTCTATTACTCTAATTCATGGATATGTTTGCTTAATTTAATCATCAGGTTTGGAACAAAATCAATGATCATTAAGTTATATAAGACATTAGTAGGTTGAAATCTATAGGGTAATGAATGATTTAGATTAGCTTAATTTATGAATGCAGTGGATCAGAGATATATCAGACCTTGAGATCTAACCTCAAAGATCGCTTATTTTCAATATCCAAACTTTCAAGTTTTATCGAGCTTCTACACTCTAAAAAATGTGTTCTTCAGTTTTTCAAAGAACTGAAAAGTCAACGGGAATTTTGTTCTTCATTTGTCTCAAATAGAGTACTCAAATTCTATTCTGTGCAAACTAACAGTTCTGTGAACTTAACTTTTCAGTTCTCTGAAAAACTCATAATTAATTAAAACTCACAAAATCTCATAATTTCTTATTTTCTCTGGTTTATTCTAGCGTCTTGAACCAAAAAGTCGCAGCTCAAGGATGTGTTCATACGGACTAAGCGGTATATTGAATAAAAACAATAATTTTCTTATGCATGATATATATGTTTTGAAATTAATTAAAATAGCTATTTGTCTCTGTCAACTGCCTCAAAATTTCAGAACAAAAACTCTTACTCTTTTGGTGCTCCGCTCTATTCAGTAATAATGATTTGTTTTTATTATATTACTCGTCTTTTTTAAGAAAAAGAAAAAATTATAGAAACGAAGAGAGAATGTGTTTGCATCACCGATGTGATGCTTCGATTACAATTTTTATTAAAAGACATCTATTTAACAAATTCTATGGTTACATACAATAGAATTTCCTTTATAGCTGATGGCAACAAGTGAAAAAATACACCTTATTTGAGGATTTTAAGGTATGTAGTGATTATTCACAAACTAGTAATGTTACTTCCTTTTCACCAAGAAATAATTTTACTCATAACCGAAATTTATTAGACTTTTTTTTTTATCAATTATGATTGAAACTTAATTGATGTTGAAACAATATTCAGTTTGTCTATGTTGTAATATGTAAATTATTTTCAATAGAAATTATCTTACTGGTCATAAAAGTACAACCTTTGATTTATTATAAAAATAGCAGAATATCCTCAAACGTTTTAAATAATATTATGTGGAAAAGAATTTGTATATGATACACAAATCTTGTTATTTTATCGTAAAAAAATTATTACATTTGCTTCAAGAAGAGAATTTAAGAGTTTCTTCTCTCTTTGTGGAGAACTGGAAGGAAATTTTTTTCAAGTTTTAATTTCACGTGTTGCTATATAAAATAAAAATGTTTTCTACAAAATAGAAGTAATTTTTTGAGAAGTTATCAAATTTTTAAAAGTCACCCCGAGAAAATGTTTATAAAAAGAAATTTTGAATTTTTATATTAAATAAATATGAATTTATAAGCAGCTGTTGTTACTATTTTATCAATTAAAGAAAAAACAATCATTATTTTATTTAAATTTTTTCTATTGCTTATACAAAAGAGAAAATACAATGACACAGTAGAGTGAAGTATTTTCTTCAAAATGAGACTGTTCTGTCATTTTACACTTATTAATTGGTGAGAAAATATGTCCCTAAAGATTCAATCATATACTTTTTTTATAAGAATCTTATGGAAATCTTAATTTCACAGTCGATACACAGTGTGCATTCAGGCGAGCTTTTTGTGAAAAATGAAAGTTGACTTTTCAGTGATTCAAATAATGATTAATATATTTTAAAAAGTGCTCTATTCGATGACAAAAAATTTTTTGTCTTAAGACTTTTTTAAGCTGGTAAAAACACATAGAACGCTAAAAACGAAAAAATTCAAATTACGCAGAATCTACGTGAGCTATTGCTCAAATGAGCACACAAGCTAAAATCCGTATGAAAGAGGCATGCTAAAAAAGTTTTTTGATTTTAGAATCGTCAAGTAGGAAAAATACTGTAAAACATTTTCGTAACGGGTTTTCCCGGAAGCTACCTTTGGTAGAATGAATGCGGTCTCCGTAGCCCAACCCGATATCCATTCAAACTTTCGCAAAATGTTCCTCTATATACTAGCTGTTAGCACAGTTAGCATAAATTAGCGTAAACGTTGCCGGACTTAGATATAGGCTTTTCAAAATACCTTTGGTTTTCCGCTATTTTCCATTTTTATCGGCTCAGTCAGAAACGTCTTTATTCAATAACAATAACATATTCGGGATCAGCACAAAAAAACTGCATGGAATTATGTATAGCTTCTTAATTTTTCTGCAGAAAAATATTCGATCAAACTAAATTATAGCATTGAAAGCCTCCCCGCAGTACATTTTGTGAATCCGGATATTTAGCAATAGTGCGGAAGTCTATAAACACTTTTTATAGGTTTCCGAATATGTTCTTTCCAATGGTGAGGTTTTTAAAAATGCAAAAATATTTTTTATGGGTTTTCCAGAGATCCTGTCTCTAGAAAACCCACAAGAAATTATTTTTGGGTTCTGAAAATCTCACCATTGGAAAGAGCATGTTCGAAAACCTATATAGACGTGTTTATAGGCTTTTGTACCACTTCCATAGCATATGTCCGCCGGTTCTACATAAAATGCACACCGTGGTTATAAGATTCTTATATAAGAAATTTATGGGGCTCCTATAAAAATTTATAGAATTCTTGTAGTAAAAAACGGAAAACTGTTTTTGTTGTTTGGAGAACGAGGGTAAAGTTTTGAACTTTGAAATTTTTGAACATTTTTCATACGAGGCACTATAAGATTATAAAAATCTTATAAAAAAATGATATACTCAAATCTTATCAAAATCTTATTCAATTCTTATGAGATTCTTATAATTACAGTATGCATTTCTATTGACCGTAGCATATAAGATTTTCGTAATTTTGTCGACTAGGGGTATAACGTAGATTTTTCTTAAACATGTTAAATTTCACGTTAGAAGTCGCTTTAACAGACTTAGAAAGTCGGTTTTTCGATCGAAGACGGGGTTAACATTATTAAACGAAGATCACAACATAACTGACTTCTGCTTACATCCCGATATTTGATGCTAAATTTATTACATGTCTTGGAACCGAAGAAGAAGAATTAAAATATACCTCTCAAGGCACGTTTTTTTAATCGATAGATACTGGAAATAATACACTGACCAAAAATAACTTCATCCCATTCATAAAATTTGTTGTGTAACCTGCGGAAACGAGTAAAACCTTTCCTTTTTTTATGGCCTAAGTTTTTATATCAAACCGGAACAATTAAAAGAAAAGGTTTGTTTTTATATAAATGAAAATGAGTGTTTTTTTGTTCGGTCCCCAAAATTAGCCTAATATTCTTAGAAAACGTTTTAAAATATATTCCGGTCGCTATTGTTATACTTCACAGCAGAATATTTCAACAGAATATTTCATTATATACCACCTTTGCTATATATAGCCGGAGAAAATAGTCGGTTCTACTATCCTACTTAGTATCAGGTTTTTTTCCATGAAAAACGAATGAGAAATAGTGAAAGTATGAAGAAAATTATGAAAGTAAAAATTTATGCGACAAGAACTTCAGTACTAAAACCTATGGTAAAACAGGCGAAGTTCGTTTGATGCTAGCAATTCGTTGAAATAGCATCAGCACAAATGATACAATGTTAAAATGTCAATTATGATACATATTTTTGCAAAAACTATATAAGATATCCCTAGTGAAACTTCTTGTATCCAAGATCTTGAGTTAAGAAATGTTACAAGTACTTAGAAAAGACACCAGGCCGTCGAAATCATCTTGGATTCTTGAATCTTTCACTCAAGTTCTTGGGAATAGTGTTTTCAAGATCTTGAGTGAATCCACTCAAGATGTTATAAGATCTTAAGTGAAAGGTTTTCTTTACATTTTCTTTTAATTTATGACAGCCATAGCCATCAGATATACGACCATATAGAATCATAGGTTTTTCCTTAAGCAACTATGTTCAAGAAAGAAAAAAATTCTAAGTGTGAAAATATTCACACTTATATTTACACAAGAGTATAAAACAAGACGATGATTCAAGAATTTCCAAGATCTTGGTATAAGAAGTCGAGAAATTACAAGATGTTCAAGATCTTGACTTCTTGAAATTTCTTGAATTCTGACATTTTCTTACCAAGATCTTGAATCAAAATCTTATTGAAAAAATTCAAGAAGTCAAGATCTTAAGAAGTTTCAGTAGCGATATGATATGGTTATATTGATCAAATACATTTTATCAATAAGGAAACAAAAACGTTCACCTTCAACAAAAACGAAGTCTGTCGCGGAATTAAACTAATGACTATCTGA